GTATCCCAAACCATACAAGTTGTCGTGGCTGAATAAGGGCAGTGAGGTAACCGTAGATAGGCGATGTCTCGGCTCCTTTTCAATTGGTAGCAAATATTTTGATAATGAGTGGTGTGATGTTGTGTCAATGGATGCTTGTTATGTATTGTTAGGCAAACCTTGACAATTCAATCGTAGTGTTATTCATGATGGGAGGAAGAAAACATATTCCCTTAGCATTAAGGGGAAGAAGGTTGTGTTGGCGTCTCGTCAGGAAGAAACCACTCCTGCCCCGATAGTCAATAATACCAACCTACTTTCTATATCCAGGTTTTTAGTTGAAATTGAATGTGAAGATGTAGTTTATGCTCTACTGCCTCATTTTGCTACCTATGCAGGATATTCAACATCAGATAGATCTTGTTCCGGGATCGAGTTTGCCTAATCGACTGGCTTATCGCTTCAGTCCTGCTCTACTAGTGCCGAAGAATGATGGTTCTTGACATATGTTTGTTGATAGAAGAACAATGAACATGATTACAGTGAAGTACAAGTTTCCAATTCCCCGCCGGAAGATATGTTAGATCAATTGTCCGGTTCTAAGGTATTCTCAAAAATTGACCTTAAAAGAGGATATTACCAAATCAGAATAAGGCCTGGAGATGAGTGGAAGACAGCGTTTAAAATGCAACATGAATTGTATGAATGGATGGTCATGCCTTTTGGACTATCCAATGCATCCAGCACATTTATGAGATTTATGTATTAGGTTTTACGACTTTTCGTGGGGAAGTTCATAGCAGTCTACTTTGACGACGTCCTCATTTATAGTCTGACATAGACATCATACTTTGATCACCTCCGTGCTGTTTTTGATATGCTGAGGACGGAGTGCCTATTCATTAATCAAAAGAAGTGTTCTTTTTTCACCACTTTTGTTACTTTTCTTGGTTTTGTTGTGTCTACTGATGGTGTTCATGCAGTTCAATCAAAAATTGATGCAATCTTGGAATGGCCCAAACCAAAACCTTGCATGATGTCAAAAGCTTCCATGGATTGGCATCCTTCTACAGCAGGTTCATCAGAAATTTCAGCACTCTGATTGCCCAAATCACAGAATGCCTCAAGGGACAATCTTTCCAGTGGTCCGAGGAAGCATATACTAGTTTTCAGTTGGTCAAGTAAAGGATGACAGAGGCTCCAGTTTTGGCACTTCCAGATTTCAAAAAAGTGTTTGAAGTAAAATGTGATGCATCTGGAGTTGACATTGGTGGTGTTTTGAGTAAGGAAGGGCGTCCAGTGGCATATTTCAGTGAGAAGCTATCAGGAACGAAGAGGCACTATTCCACCTATGATCTTGAATTCTATGCNGATTGTTAGTGAACTTCATAACATGGGTCATATCGGGCGAGATAAGACATTGGTTTTGGTCTCCTCTCACTATTATTGGCCCAAATTGAGCAGGACGTGGCTCATCATGTCAGGCGTTGTTATGCGTGCCAGCGGTCCAATGGGTTCTTACTAATGCGGGCATTTACACACCTTTACCAGTACCTGAAGCCTCTTGGTTGGATGCCAGTATGAATTTTGTGTTGGGACTAGCCCGTACCCAATAGGCCTTGGATTCTATTTTCATTGTGTTTGATAGGTTTTCAAAGATGGCCTATTTTATAGCCTGCCAGAAAAGAATGGATGCTACCCGAATCGCCCATCTTTACTTCAGAGAAATTGTGCGTTTGCATGGTTTTCCTCAATCAATTACTTCTGATCGTGACACTAAGTTCATGAGTCATTTCTGGAAAAGTTTATCGGAGAAGCTGGGGACGCGGTTGAATTTTAGCAGCGCCTACCACCCCCAGACAAATAGTCAGATCGAGGTGGTGAACTGGAGCTTGGGAAACCTTTTGAGGAGTCTGGCAGGAATTAAACTGAAGCAGTGGGATTTGGCATTACCTTAGGCATAATTTGCCTATAATAGATCAAAGAATAGAACCGCAGCAATGAGCCCATTTGAGATTGTCTATGATCGGAACTCATCCGGGGTACTTGATTTAGCCCCTATTCCACTTGTGGGTCATTTGAGTCACAAGGCAGATGAGATGGCAGAACATCTTCGAGGTGTCCATGAACATGTGAAGCTTGCCATTCACGAGAGTAATGCCGAGTACAAGGCTCATGGTGATAGTCACCGCCATCGGGTACTTTTTGAAGTTGGTGATTTTGTTTGGGCGGTATTAACTTGTGGTCGTTTTTTAGTTGGGGAGTATAATAAGCTTAATGAGCAGAAGATTGGATCCTGTGAGGTCCTGCAGAAGATCAATGATAATGCCTACAGACTCCGCCTCCCTAGCCATTTGAAGACTTCTAATGTCTTTAATGTGAAGTATCTAAGTCCTTGTTTTGTGGATTCTGATAACATTAATGTGAACTCGAGGACGAGTTCTTTCCAACTCGGGGTGACTGATGCAAGAGGACCTGAGTCAGATGATGCAGAGTTGTCTGATAGTTCATTGATGGCGCTGAGATACCATGAGTTGGCGGATCAGCGCAAAAATTACAAGTAATCGACAATCTTTCCTAATTGGGGCCGTTTTTTGACATGTTTCGCGCTCATGACCCCAATTCAGAAAGTTCTTTTCGGCGCGTACGTCGTGGTCATCGATTCTGAGGGCAAATTCCGCTATTTTCCTTTTCGAATCCCCAATTTAAGTTATTATTTACTTTTTTTTAGTAATATTTCGTTTGTCTTTTTAACATAGATTACAAACTCGATTGAGCTCGATTTTCAGGATATTATTTCTCTTATTACGTATTTTCTTTTGGTATGAATATTGAGATTTTGCTATTTTNCTTATTTCTGTCATTACGTATTTCCTTTTAGTATGAAAAAAAGAATTTTGCTATTTTTGGTAAAATTCCAATAATTATGATTTTTTAGCTGCTTAACCCGGCTTGTGGGTTATTTTCGCAGATGGGATGAATAATAAAGACTTTCGTGTTTGATTCTTGGTGTTTTTTCTTGCGTTCTTCTCTGTTAATCACCTATTGAACTTCCGCCTGCAGAATAATCACTATTCTGTCTGGCGTCAAAATCGAACAGACCCACTAGCAACTATTTTGCAGAAATCCAGTAGGAAATAATTCTTCGCAATTGACATAGACGTCCTATCACTATTGAATTGTCAAGGTAAAAATCAATGACGAGACATTAAACTATAACACTTTTGATGAGTAACAACAAGAGGCAATTTCTAAATCTACATTATTTACACATTTTGTAGGATTTACACCTAACTACCCACCTCTTATCCATACATTCCTAGGATCCACAGTCTATAAACACTTCAAATTACTACCAAACAAACACTTAGTTTCTTGTACTCTAGGCTTCGAGAATCCTCTTTGTGTATTCAGAATATCAGAACTTCCAACAAGATAATTTACAAACTTTTCCATTAATCTAGCCAATGTATACATTACAAACAAGCCGAGTTCAACAAGATTTCTAGACAAAACAAGAATATGCAGGGGTAGGGAACAGGTTCTAACTGGTCACAATCAATCTTACAACAGCAGGATATGAGTGTCATCGATTGGCTTTATTGCTTTTATTCACCGTACTATCACGAAAACTTGAGATAAGAAAAGAGGGCGTAGGACAATGTAGAAATATACCCAACAGTTCTCAATATGACCAGAAACCAAAGGCTTGATCTTCAACTGGAAATCCAAAGTAATAAGAATTTGCACACACGCCAGGATAATCAGCAACACCAATCTCTGAAGATGTGTAAGCAGGTCGAAGTAATTCCTCATTCCAGTTATCTTCACTCTGAGATAAATCCGAATGATCAGGCTCGAAACTGTACGAAGAGTGAATTGCATCAGGAATATGGGGGCTATCTATTTCATCACTTCTGGCTGAGCTTATATCTTCACTCTTTAAGGCCACCCTTGGCACTTTGGATTCTTCGTCTTCAGAAATTGTATCAGCAATGGCTTCTTTGCGTGATCCTTCAGGCGGTTTTTGGTTATCACTTGATGGTGAGTTTCCGTCCCCTTGATCTCTAACAAGAATATTGTCCGCGAGGACAAGAACCTGAGAAAAAATGGAAACATCCCATAAACATTATTGAGAGTTCACACAAATTTCATTGAATTCTCTATTTCAGAATATAGAAGGTAATAATCGGTCAACTAATAGAGAAGTCCGATGTTAGTCACCAAACTATAATTTGTTTTATACCGGTTAATCAAGTTTGCTTTTTTAATTTTCTTCCATTTGGTCACTCAGTTCAAACTTTCGTTAGTTATCTTAATGGAAATGACTGAAGAGGAACACAATGCCACATCAGATTGCCATATTTTGTGTTGGACACTACATTAGAAAAACTAACTGATTTTAAAGTGAGTGACTAAATGGAAACATAAAGAAAACTTCAACGACTATTTTGGAACAAAATAAAATTCAGTAACAAACATAAAACTTTGAGTGGAAAGGGTATATTTAACCCGATTATTATTCATCACCTCAGCTTTTAGTTTCTCATTCTCCTTGTGAAGATTATCGTAGTCTGTTTTCAGGCGGTTATAGCTCGCTTCTAATGTCTCATAATCTATTTCCAGCTGTTTAGTCTTCCATCGTGCCCGGCGATTTTGGAACCATATACCAATCTGTCGGGGCTGCAAACCGAGCTCCTTGGCAAGCTGAATTTTCCTTTCTTGATCGAGTGTATTCTCTGCCTCAAAGCTCCTCTCGAGGAACTCAACTTGGTCTACCGTTAGACGCCTCTTCTTTTCTGGCCGATTAAGATATTCATCCAAGTACTTGTATTCATTATCTTCTTGATCAAAAGGATGAACAGTTAAACTGGCTGAATTGTATGGGCCAGAAGTTCCTCCAAAACTAACCATGGATCCTGAGCCTGAAACAGAACAATACTCTTAATGCTACGCTAAAAAAAACAATGTTATATCGCACACAAAGATTAAGAAGACGAAACAGTATCGTCTATAAGGCCATTACTCCTAAATTCCACTGATTCTCCAATATAGCATGGTCTGAGTAACTAATTATTTTGATTTTCCAAAATAATGGGTGATTCAGAATTATAAGCCACATTACATAATCGTCCAAAAAACATCAAAAAGGGGAATCTCTTTAGAGAAGGATATATACGATTTGGGTGAGATCTAATCTCGATCCAACTTTCCATTCACAAGTGTGATCTAGGTGGTCATGTGACCACTATGTCTCTTCTCAAGAATGTGTTAAGTCTCCAATCATTCTATCTCTCAAATACCAGCATAACTAAATTTTGAAATATGGATTTACAGGGGCTCAACCAACAAAGAAATTTTTCAGGAAAATATTTTCATTTTATTCATTGCAAGAACATATTGAGAAAGCTGCATCAATGATTCAATAAGCATACCAACCAAAATTCAAGAGTTCTCATACAACAAAAAAAACTTAAAAATCATAATTGCATCAATCACTGAATACAATTTGTTTTGCATCATTAGATGAATTATTAGTTATTACATATATATACACAATAATTTTACAACTTACAAAACAGAAAAGTCAACGCAATTTAATAGGAGATAGAAAAATTATAAATTTCCAAGAAAAGAAGATGAAGAACCAGGGAATTGCATAGAATCAAGAGGCTGCCCATGATGAGGAATTTTCAGTTTCCGGGTTTTAAGCAAATCACTGTTGACATCAGAACCAGCACCGCCACGAACCGCCTTCCAAGCTGCCATGTATTATTATTTTTCTATATCAGTATAACGATGAATTTTCAAGAAACTGCAATGTAAATCCTGCTCTTTTTTATCAAATGAACCACCAGGCCTTTATATTTGGATGATGGGGCTTTAAAGAAGTGGGTTTTAGATTTTGTGGCGAAAAAAGCTGGTGATGATGATCTCTGTGATGTGTGAAGTGTGGGAACACCGGCTGCTCATTACAGCCATCAACAAACCTCGATTTTCACAAATAATATAGACCAAGATTTTATGTATCTGTGTGCATAAGAAAGAGTGAGTGTTGTACGTTTTTTTGGGTCCTGAGGGTGGGGAGAGATAGAGAGTGGCAGAGATGTCAGCGGCGAGGAGAGAGGAAGTAGCCGGGGGACTGGAAGGCTAAGGAGGTGTACTGTGAGAAAAAGACAAATATATTGGGCATACTTTCGACTAGCAAAATTGGATGGTGAAGGGATAAATTCGAATTTACTTTGCAAGTCCACGTTAAAAGCATATTTGGGAGAAATAAAAATAATAATAAGGGAGACGCTATTCTATCGTTCTTATATATCTATTCACTTTTAATTAATTTTTTTTTTGCATTACATTTTTAATGTTATGCAAATTTACTTATAGATAGGAAAGAAACTAAGGCTCTGTTTGGAAGTCATTCTTTCTTCAAATAATACATTTTTTCTTTCATATCAAATGGGGTTCATGGCTGGAAAGAGATACAAAAAAGGTGTGAGTTTACACAAAGAATGCATTTTTTGTAGAAAAATGGTTACCAAACGGAGGCTAAATAAAGATTTAACTCGAAGAGGGATTGTAAGTTTTTAACATATGCTTACTGGTGGATTGGACAAGCCATTAGCAAAGTCGATATTCCTTCATTAAGCAGAGTATTACTCTATTTCATGAGTTGATTCCATATATGAACATCTTTGAGTTTTAATGATTTTGCTACAATTTCGACAATCTTTTTATATTAAGACTAATGATATTTGTAGTCAATTACTATCGTAGTCGTCGTACGTGACATACATTTAATCATCACATGTATCTCACGTACGATGATTACGATAGCAATCAAATCATTAACTGCCACGTGTATGTTGTGTACGATGATTACAATAATCATCGTTCTTTAAATCCTAATCCCTCTTTCCGGAATAATAACATAAAACTAAACAAATAATTTTGTTTTTTATTTTCAAATTCTACAGTAAATCAATTCTCATTTTCAACCACACATTCTTCAATAAAATAATATTTTCCATCACATCAATAATTTTTTCTTCTTTTTCAACCACACATTTCCCATCATATCCCTATTCAAAAATCAATTCTTCCCCCCAAAAATCCCTCCCAAAAAGCTCTAAATAAAGATTTAACTCAAAGAGGAATTGTAAGTTTTTCACATATGCTTACTAGTGGATTGGACGAGCTATTAGCAGAGTCGATATTCCCTCATTAAGCAGAGTATTAATCTATTTCATGAGTTGATTCTATATATGAACATCTTTGAGTTTTAATGATTCAGCTGCAATTTCGACAATCTTTTTATATTAAGAATGATGATATTTGTAGTCGATTACTATCGTAGTTGTCGTACGTGACATACATTAAACCACCACATGTATCTCACGTACGATGATTACAATAGCAATCAAATCATTAACTGCCACGTGTATGTTGTGTACGATGATTACAATAATCATCGTTCATTAAATCCTAATCCCTCTTTCCGGAATAATAACATAAAACTAAACAAATAACTTATAGACATTTATAGTTGTTCATCCTCGATATAGAGGAGTGTGATCTCATGCCTCTAAATCCGTATCTCACCCGAAAAACCCCCCTTCAAAATCCTCTGTGTATCATAGGAATATTAGTTTGAGCTAATGAAAATATGGAATTCCAAATACATCTCTGAATAATTTTTTTTTTCCAATATACCCCCTGAAGATTCAATGGTAGATCCACAGTCGAAGGATAAACGAATAGCATGTTTAGGCTTCACGCATTCAAGCATAACCAGCAAATGTGAACTTAACATTACTAGTTGAACTTATTATTATAAATGCTATATCCAGATTGGCCTTAAATACAACTATTAAATAGCATTACTCTTTGGACAAAGAGTCTTAAATATTATTTTGTGAGTTAAATGTTTTATTAGTTACTAAACTTATAATTCAGTCACGTTTTACTCATTTAACTTTAAAATACTTTCGAGCATCACCAAACTTTAATATGTTGCACTTCATCACTCATTCACCATATTTCATTAGTCATTCAACTTATATTTCTGTCACGTTTTAGTCACTGAACTTTAAATTCTCCAGAGTGGTCATTGAACTTCATAATATTTTCAAGTAAAGTTGATATTTTATGAGATTTGATCTAAACCAAGAAAATAAAATAATATAAATATCGACTAGATAATGAGTCTCTCAATTTAAGACAAGAATATTGATATTGAGCAAGAGGATATAATTTCTCTTGCCGTCAAAAGCTATTTTCAGTGGGAAAAATGCTAATTCCAAAATGACATAAATCTTAATTTAAATCATAATATTCCTTTACGTCAAGAAAATGAAATAGAGAAATTATTTTCTTATTTAAATTGATGGCATATACCCAAATCAAGAAAAAAAATTATCTCAAATAGGCACTGAAATTTTCAATTTACAGACAATAATACTAATCAACACTAATAAAATATAATTTTTAAAGTTGTCACAACGTGATTTAAGAGGAAAGAAAGACATCGACGTGTTTGGTATTTTATACTTTAAGATTTTCAATTTTTGAACAATTGATTCAACGAGTAAAGTTTAGTACTCATTCGAAAGTATTTTAATTTTCAATGAATAAACTATGACGAATGTATAAGTTCAATGACTGATAAAATATGGCGAGTGATGCAATATGTTAAATTTTCGTGACTAATTGAAAACATTTTAAAGTACATTGATAAATGAAACATAGTAAGTGAATGATAAAGTGTAACATGTTAAATTTAATGATCACCAGGAAGTATTTTAAGATTTAGTGAGTAAATCATGATTGAGATATAAATTTAGTGATTAATGAAACATTTAAGGGAACAATACATAACTCCAAGTTTTAAATATCACATTTCATAAATAACAAACTNAAATAACAAACTCATTAAAATATTTCAAAAATCAAGTGGTAAATAAATTTATTAAATATTAAAATACAATATAATATACATTAATTATTTTTACCAATGCCACCTCACATTCTTCATCCTATCACCCTACTACACCACATTCCCTCCACCACTCCATTGAAGACAGCCATCGGCTGTTCCGGGGATCACTTCGGTTCCGGTGATCACTCCGAATGTAACTCCAGCGACTGTTCCGGCTTCCGCTTCGACAACTTAAAAATTTTCAAAAAATAAAAAATTGGAAATCACACCCCCAAACTCATGGATCCACCTACCACCACCCCCATTTGCTGGCACATGTCATCCGCAACTAATTGTAACCAAATTTGTATTCAATGTAACTATGACCAAATTTATTTTTAGTGTGACTGTCTGTGACTAAGTCAATCTCAAGTCACAATCGATCACAATCAAACTCATACTTGATTGCATAGGATCACGACAAATAACCAATGGCATCGAATGAAACTGCACCTTTTGTATCGTCAATACTTCCTACAACCCAAGTCATACCTTCTCCAAATCCAAAATGGAATGGATATCAGGCTGCACCCTACTTAACATCATAGAGGAGCTTACCTATATCCCCAGCATTTTCCATGAATGAGTTACCAACTTATCCCAATTCAACATCAACAGGAGATGGATTAACCGTGACCAAACTTGTCTTCAGTGTGACTAACTGTGACCAAATTTGTATTAAATGTGACTGTCTGTGACCAAGATAAATCTCAAGTCACAATCTATCACAATCAATACAAAATTGATCAAAAACAACCACGACGACCACCAGCATACTACACAACCGCCATCACATGAAGACCAATGCTCGTAGCTGCAACCGGCATACTGTACCACCGCATATAACACCAGTCACCACCGCCAAAACACCACCAGTCACTACCAAAACATCCCACACCACGCCTAACCTCAACCAAACCCAACCACCACATCAAAAATTAAAAAAAAAAGGATTAATGGATCGCACCGTGCGCAGTATTGTTGATCCAAATGGTTGCGTTGGTGTAATTTGAAGATAGCTATGCACCGCCTACATCCACCGTCAAATTCAAAGATCAACCCATAGAGATTGTGCAATTAAACTATCAACCTAGAGTGCAGTAGAGTAAATTTTGGAAAAAAAGCTAAATATACAGGATTTTCTTTACATACTCTTCACATGTGCTGCGCTGATAGCACTTGATTTGCAGACTTTTTTTGTCAACTACCAATCAAATTGTGCGAAGTGGAATTCCGTGAAAAAAAAAACCCTATACATATAGCATTGCTGCAAATTTTGGGAGTGTTGAAATGTAGGTGTGAAGGGTGCAACCCCCACTTTGAAAAATGTGGGCTTCCTTGATAAAACTCTTTAATTCTACCAAAATGATGATGTACGTCGAACAAGAGGATAGAACAAAGACATCAAACATGCACGCTTGACCTTGATCCGATAGGATAGGCTCGACCTTGAACAAGCATGCACGATCTATATTGATAAGCCACTTTATATGTCGAGCTATTAGCTCGAGGCTGAGGTGACAATGCAGGAGAGGGAGTCTCAATGGCAACCTCTATATTGTATGACATGTCAACTCACTACTTTGCCGTGATAAAAAAGTGTTAATACATATTTTAACAATTTAATATGAAGATATTGTCAATTTTAGTTTTTAGAATGTCACATAGCGATTATGTACAATATTAATTACGATAAACTATCAATTAAATAATTTCCATCAATTTACGAGAACAAAATGTTACAAAACGAGGAGTTCGGTGACCTAATTGAGAAAAAGAATAAAGTTTTGAAGACGAGTGACCCCTTACTCTTTTAACAATTTTAGAAAACGATAGTATTTTGTAGTATAATTGAAAAATAATATTCAAAATTGGGCGAACTCTACCAAGCTCAAGTTGGCCCAATTGCAATCGAGTTTGACATTTTCTAACTTAGTAGACGTAGTTTTGATCATTTTGCACGTTTAATAAAAAAATAATAATCGACCAAACTCAAACAAAATTTGATATTTTAATGTTCGATCGTGTAAAAAATATATTTATTTTTAAAATATTTTATTTTCGCATTTGTTGACATCTAAAACAACCAATTAATTTAAACCATAGCAAGCTACTAATTTAAATATCCTTTTCCAAAATCGACTAAACTATGATTAGCTACATTTTTAACAAATGATAAATTAATAAAAAAAAAAGTCTTTCATATAACACGTTACAAGTCATAGCCGTATTGTCAAACACTCTATTCCTTTATTTATACAATTAAATGAGATCAAGACTTGAACTTATCAAGATCACTACACTACAAAAATAAAAATAAATAAATAAATAATTAAAAAAATCTATCAAGTTCTTATATGAAAATCATTTCATTTTGTGTTGAATTCTAATTGGTAGTTAAAATTAAAGATTTCTAACTCCAATGAAGAGTTGCCAAAATACCAATCAAACTATTATGGAAACCATTGAAAATGGAGAAAAGTGTAATAGTTGACAATGAAGGATTGAGGAGAGATGAAATGGTAAACGGGACATGTCTAATCAGTCGACATCTGTGGAGGAAATGGCACTTTGGGAACCCACTAAGGCCTCTGCTATAGGTCAACTTTATATGGAATATATTTATGTATCTTTGTTAAATAAAATTGTATAATAAACGTGCGTCTAAGATTGAGCGATTGATGTTCTTTGGGAGATCATAGTTCAATTGCCATTTTCCGTTAAAGTTATCTTAAACTCCACAATAAAACTTTAATCATCTCCTCCTTGCTATGAAGTTACAGGACACGTTGCAGTATAAGAATCTCAATCGCCATGTTTAGAAATATTCGAGGGCTTGGGTGGCTTTTTTATGCTTTGACTTTACCAAACAAGGTTTTAATTCTTAACGATAAAAAAATTTGATGCCGAGCCTGTTTGATAAGGGTCGTGACGTGATATTTTAATGAACACTTGGACAATTTTTGTATTTGAAAATTGATTATGCAACTGTAGTGAATTATTGAGTATCAACTCGTTTATTTTTAAAAGGACGAACTTGCAACGGTGACAATCCATTGGGACCAACGATGCAATTTCCCTCAATGTAAATTCAAGGTAAATTATAGAACTAGTCCCCAACCTTTGACACCTGTAGCAATATTGTCTCCAACCTTTATTTTCTAACATTTCAATCCTCATATTTGGAATAATTAGCAGGATTTTTCCTATTTTACCATTCTCTTTAATTAGCAAGCTAAAAATGTTATTAAAAGGATAATATGTTGTCTATAATTTTTTTTCTAATTGAAAAAATGGAAATTTTTTTTTATCAAATTGGGAATGTGTTTTGAGGATTTCGGCTAGTAGCTTCTACAAGTCTTATAGAATATGCTTCAATGAAAAATCGATAAAAAAGAGAAAGTAAAAGGATGGAGAAACAAAAGCCAAAACAAATTGAAATTCGAATTGATAATCAAGACTTTCATTATTCATCAATAAAAAAATAAAAAAAGAGAAATAACGAGACTGCAATCCAAACTAAGAATGGGTTTTTGGGGTTAGCTCGTCCTTGTTGGATCGCGATTCTTTGTCCAGGTCATTCTAGCATGTGTGTCACCCAAATTCAGAAGAAAAAATATTTGTTAAATCGACCACAAGAATACCCTTTACAGTACATATTCCTAATCCTTAGGGATGGCAAAAAAAAAAAAAA